TTTGGGGGGGGAGTTTTGCAGAAGCTGCAGGTGACGTGAAGGCCAGCAGACAACACAGAAAAGTTTAGAAACTCAGACATGCATAAAATGTATGTATGTTATTGGATAATATCAATGTATTTTATCTTTTAATACCATAAATATACACAATTTCTTCTCTGGTACAAAGGAGGAGACAAAAAAATTGTATGTGGATCTTCCAGATTATGGGGGTGCTGGGCTCCTAACACCTGTGACGTGGATGGGATAACTATATATATAATATATATGTGTGTGTGGATAGATAGATAGATAGATAGATAGATAGATAGATAGATAGAATACTTTTTAAAAAATATATGCTTTTTGGAAAAATAATAGTTTAGATGAGTCAGAGCTTTTCATAGAGTAACATGCTCTGTTTTTTCATTCCATAGTTTAAAAGAAAGGTACTTATTTCTAATGGGAGCTTTGGTTAGAAATTCTTCTGAAAGAAAAAAAATTAATCCTATGTGGATGGAACACTCCTGGAGGTCAGCTAGATCAAGACCTGGAAGATTCCTCAGAGGCCAACCAATCCAATCTCTCCCATGTTACAAAGAAGTAAACTGAGGCCCAGAGAGCTTAAAAATTTCTCAAGATCACATAGGTAGCAAGGAGCAGGACCAGGAACTGAATCCTTCTAATGCTTTCCAACATCACGCCCACTCTCCTCAAAAAGAGAAAGCTTTTGGTCATGCCACTTGGAAAGCCAATGTTTTATTCTTTAGCCACCCACCACAGGAGCCAAGTATAAAGGTCTGGAATCCTATAATAAGCTTAATGGGTCTTCATTATTATACATCCAAAGGTATAGCAGGTCAGTACAATTGCTTGGAACATCAGGTTCTGTTGTGAGTACATGAACACATCTCTCCAAATGCTATTAAAATACAGTGTGATGCAAGGGAAACATTATTGGACTCTGACCCTCAGTTTCCTCATCTGTAAATTGAGGACATCTGTAAATTAGACGGCCTCTGAACTAGCTACCTTCTAGTTGTAACTGATTCTTAATCAATCCATCACTCTCCCTACCTTCCTTCCCTCATTTTTCAGATGAGAAAACTGAGGCTCAGGAAACAAGGTGATTTGCCCAGAATCATAGATAATGTGAGTCTGTGTTCACCTTCTATTACCACATTGAAAGCCCTTTACAATTAATTTCTCTCCAACTATTTTCCAGCCTTGTTATAGAAAACTCTCTACCCACTTTAAATCAGACTTCTTGCTGTCCCTCCCACACAAATGTTCCCCTCCTCTCTTTCCTTCTTTCTCTCTCCCCTCTTCCATCTCTCCCTCTCCCTTCCTCTCCTCCCCCACATTGGACAGACCACTCACACCTGGGATGTACTTCCTCCTCACCTCTATCTCTTAGGTAGATGGAGAAATTTCCTTTAAATTTTTCCTTCAAAGCTCATCTGATGCCCCCTTCTCTGGGAAGCCTTTATTGATCTCCCAGCTTCTTATCAAAATTATTTATTATGCACGTATTTATTTAGTTGCATCTTATCTCCCCCAGTAGAGTGGAAGCTTCCAGAGGGCAGGCTTTTGTCTTTGAATCTCCAGGATAAACCACACTTCCTGGTACAGAGCTAATACTTTAATAAGTGTTTGCTGACAGACTGACTCCATGAAGGATGTTGGAAACCAGGCTCTGCTCCATGCTCCTGGTATGACCTTAGACAAGTCATTTCCCCCTCTGTGCCTCAGTTTGTTCACTTTCAAAATAAGGGGGTCAGACTAAATAATCTCATCGAATTTCACAGTTACAGAGTTGGAAGTAACACCATCTAGCTGAACGCAGTGCCAAGTAACCACTGAAGTCTTTGCTCAAATATTTTCATCAAGGAGGAAGGCAGGGGCAGCTAGGTGGCACAGTGGCTAGAGCACTGGCCCTGAAGTCAGGAGGACCTGAGTTCAAATCCAGCCTCAGACCAAAATCTTGACACATACTAACTGTGTGACCTTGGGCAAGTCACTTAAGCCCAATTGCCTCACCAAAAAAAAATTTAAAAAAAGAAGAAAGGCACCCACTCTGCAGATAGAGTCACTAAAGTATTCTTTTTTTCATGCTCAACACTCCTTGTTCCTGCAACTCTTTGCTAAGAGTCCCTCCAGCTCCACATCCAAATGTGTCTTTCTATGGTCCTTTAAGGTCTGCAGAGAGCTTTCCCAAACAGACTTGGAGTTGTCAGGCAAGTGCTGTTGTCTTCCCCATTTAACAGATGAAGAAACTGAGGCAATGAGAGGTAAAGGGACCACCCATATCACTCCCTCTGGGTCCTCTCTATTTTACAATCCAACAAGCAGTCAGTGACAAGGGAGACAAGTTTCACCAAAAGACAAAGTGAGGGAAGATGAACAAGGATTACATTGTCTGTTTCATGATATTTAGAAAGGGTGGACTGCAGGAATTTACAGGCTGGCCGCAGATATGGGAATGAGACAGGCAGCCCAGGTTCAGAGAAGGATAAACAGGCAGACTTTTACAGCACATTTTTTAAAAAAGCTTCATTTGCACACGCAGTGCTACAAACATCTGAGAGTAGTAATTTGGTTTTCTGTGTCAGGGAGGCTTTAAAAAATAAACACAAAAGTTTACCTTTAAAGTCAGCTAAGTCTAGAATGGATAGGGCCAATTGGATATGACTTACAGCTTAAGGTTAAGAGCAGAATAATACCTGAAACTTTTAGGGTTCTATAACTGTGTATTGCACATAGCTCCTCTACCCTCTCCTTCCTTCTCTCCCTCCTTTCTTTCTTCTCACCCTCCCTCCTATCTTTCTTTTCTTCCTTCTCTCCTTCCTTCTGTCCTATAAGCAATAATGGGGTCATTGTCCAGCATCCCACAGAATAAGGCAGGATTCAAATGCAGATTTTCCTGATGTCAAAGCCACTACAGCACATTGCCTTTCAAAGCTATATTTTAGGATGATCAATCCCACGGCGGCAGGTGAAAGGAGCTGCTAATACTAGAAGCTGAACCCAAGTCCCTCTGCCAACCCTAACCATTCCCAGAAGCATATTGACAGTAACATCAGTAATACTAAGAGTGAAGAATATTGTCAATTCATGACTCACATGCAGCACAGCCAATCACATTCCACATTAGATACTTGGGATGTCAAAGAGCATTCAGAAGGATTTCAACCTCTCTCAATATTCAAAAGCCCTGACGATCTCTGGCTCTGTCAATAGAATTTTCCTACTTATTTGAAAATGGTTCATTCCAGGTACCACTTCCTCTGGGAAGATTTCCAACATTCCCCTACTCGTTAGTGTTTTCTCTCTTCAGATAATTTTCTATTTGCCTGCTGTTTATGTGTTACAGGAACCCTAGTAAAAGGTAAGCGCCCTAAAGGCAACAACTGTTCTAATTTCTGTAGCCCTGGTGCCTAGCACTGTACCTGGTATTCAAATACATATATATATATATATATATATATATATATATATATATATATATATGGATTCCATAAAAACAACAACAGATATTTCTGTTGCTTTGAATTTTTACTAGGCATGTTATCTCTATTATTTTGTTTGAGCCTTCAAACAATCCTGTGACAGGTGGTATAGGTATCATTATCTGTGTTTTACAAATGAGGAAACTGAGACTCACAAGTTAAGGGTTCCCAGAGCCATTAAAGTATCGGAGGAAGGCCTTACTCATTCTGTGGTTTAGAGCGTGCTCTTTGGTATGGGGGTACAGTGCTACACTTGGAGCCCAGAATACCTGTTTTCAAATGCTGCCTCGGATATATATTGATTCCTGGACCCTAGGGAAGTCACCTGCCCTCTTAGTACTAGAGGAAACTCTCTGAGACTATTAGTTGGAGGGAAGGTGCCCACCTGTTTTGGTAGAGGGACTTATGTAATCTGGAGGTTCCCCATTGATGTAATCACAAGTCTGGGTCCTATCCCCCATCCTACCCATTAAAGAATTCTGCCCCTTACAATCTTAGTTGAATTGAATAATGGCATAATTTCAAAATTCATAATTTCAAACTGTTCTATATCTGTTGTATTCATGGAAGATTTAGAAAGGAAAAACAATAAAAACCATGAAATGTACAGCAGAAATGATAAACCCAGAGTAGAATATAACCCACTTCAATATGCCTGAGAATGTGGGATGTTTCATGGCTTGTACTTTGCCATGGGGGGAAAGGATACAGACTGTGCCACCAGAAACACCCGAGTTCAAATTCCAGTCCCTCTCTGAGCCTCAGTGAACTCCTCTGTATACTGGAGGTGACGATTCTTGCCTGGCCTCCACGTAGCACTAAAAATGGGAGCTGGGACATGAGCCTCCATAACTGTGGCCGAATACACTAGGTCACAGCTGGGATTTCAGCATTACCCATGAGGTTGACTGCTCCTGTGGGGTTCCTGGGAGACCCTTTCCGCACTGAATAGCCCAGTTACCCGCTTAACAAAAATACAAGGGCACTATTATTTATCTCATTAGCAGCAGCATGGTTCACTAGCTGCAAGAATTTTAAGCAATCAGGGCTACAAGAGCCCCAATAAATGGACCACAAGAAAAAACAAATGGTAGACAAATATATTTTAAAAATCCTTTCAAGTGTCTTTAGAAGCAATCATGATCTGGGGTGAGGGGATCCCTGACATGGAATGTTACTGGATTAAAAAACAACAGCAAAACACACCCACCCACATACATCGGGAAAACAACCCAAGATGAGCTGGAAAATAAAGCGCTTCTATGATCCACCCAAGACAGTAAGTAATCCAAGTACTTCTGACTTTTCCTCATCATTATGCACCGAATACAACACAGCCTGGCTTCTCATGCAACCATCTCTCTCCCCCATTCCTCTCTCTTGTTGTTTTTCGGCCCCGGAAGAATGGCACAATCAATCCCTCCCCAAGCTTTCTCCCTCCTCCTCCCCAGCCCACAGGCCCCCCGCCAACCCCAGCCCCCAAAGCATTTTCCCGGCCGCAGCAGTACTCACTCTGTTAAAACGTTTGGCTTGAAACAGATGCCCATTCACTCGGTAGAGCTTCCTCCATCTTCTGGCCCCTCGGCGGTAGATTGATTCTAGAAAGGATATTAAAAAGGTATAAAGCAGCAACATAGTACATAGCGGACACAGCCCGGGATGCACGAGCCCGGGCTTAGAACAGCCCTGCTTTTCTTTGCATCAAAACAGCCGAAATCCTGGATGCCAAAGCATTCTCGAGAATCGCCAAGGAAAAGCTTGGAATGACAGCTGCTTCTACCTCCGGCCTCTCCCTTCTGTCTGCCCCACTCTCTGTCTCTCCTCTCTCTCTCTCCCTCTCTCTCTCTTTCTCCCTCTCTTTCTCACATGATAATCATCTTGTTACAGTTCCCAGGGCCGCTTGCTGTCTGGAGCTCAGGTGAGAAAGACACGGTCAAAAGCCCTGCTACCCTACCCTCGAAGCCAACTGGGGAGGGGCTGGAGGGAGGAAACGTACAACATTTCTCCCAGCTGAGGCACTTCTGTATTCCAACACAAAGGAGAGATGTTAGCTCATGACAAGGCGGGGGTGGGGGGTGGGGGGGAAATCCCAGACTTAGGACCAATTACATATCTGATGGGCCCTGTAATTGGTTGGGTTTTCCATTCTCCTTACCTTTGGGCTCAGGCAGAAGAAAGAGAATATCCCCCCCCCATGGAGTATAAATGGTACCATGAGCTTATGTGATTATTTTTGCTGCTGTTCTAAGATGAAAAAAACTCCAACATTTTAGATGCAATATCTAGTTAAACACACACACATACCTACACACACAGGAGTGAAATTAACAACAGAAACTTGCATATGCTTCAAGTTCTCCCTCAAGGATATTCCAAACTGAAACTGACCAAATCTTTTTCCTGAATGGTGTTGTTAAAATATATAATATATATATGTATACACACACACACACACATGCATGCATGCGCGCGCGCGCACACACACACACACACACACACACACACACACACACACACGCACACAGAGGAAAAAGGCTGACGATAAAATTAAACCTGAATTAAACTTCACATCCTTTCCAATGAAAACCCACAGAACTCAAACTTAGCTTCTGTGACAAGAAGGAAAGAGAAGATGTCTAAAGCCATATGTATATATACACACACCTAGGTGTCACAGGTTTCCTCTCCGTGGGAGGGGAAGCATTTCTAACTGTGCTGTCTCAAAACACCATAAAATAAATACATCTAGGGGGAAAAGAGTTCTGAAAAACACAACACACAATAAAAAGCTTTGTGCTATTTTTTTAGAGATTTTAAAAAAAAATCCTATCCTAAAAGTGACTTTCATACAGGCAATGAAAAGTACTATGGATTTGTTAATGTGGAAATTGTAACTGTATGTTTTTTAAATAAGCAAATGACTAGCCTTGGCTGTAACCTGCCTAAAATTAGGTCACAGCAATTGCAAAACCCACTTCTTGCTCTTTAAATAGGAAATTGGTGGAGAATTGGAACCCAACTGGAGTCCATGGTGAACAGTGAGACTCTCATACAAAGTCTCTAAGAAACCTCAGTGTGGAGATTGGAGTGACCATGTTCCTGGAGCTATTTCCAAGGTCTGGTCCATCAGCTGTGCTATCTCTGAAAGTACCATCTACCTATAAATCAACCCAGGGAATCTGAGATTGAAAAATCTTTGGATTCTATCTCATCACAAATCAATTAATAGCGGGAGCTCAAAAAACTTCCCTGAGTTAATGATGTCTTCTGGAGACTGCTTTTTGATGATACCAATGTTTCCCAACTACAAGTTGTTGGTTTATAATATAATGGCTTGGCGTATAATAAAACAAAAAAGACCTGAGTTCAAATCCTGCTGGCTGTGTCATCCTGGCCAAGTCACTTAAGCCTCAGTTTCCATACTAATCAAATGGGAGATTTGGACTCAGTGGCCTCATCAGTCCCTTCCAGCTTCTAAATCGATGATCTTATTAGACCAATATACACCTAAATTCAAATTCAGCAAACATTTATCAAATACCAATTATGTGCCAAGCATTTTCCTCTACAATATCCTTGATAGTGTCAAACAGCCCTTAGCTCTTGCCCATGGGCTAAAATTATAGAAGGGACCCTGAAGGCCATCTAATTCAAACCATATTCTTCATAAAATCCCAGGAAATCACCATCCAACCTTTACTAGAAAACAGAAAAATATACGTTCCTCATGGGTGGGCAAGAGTTATTTGTCAGTTTTGTATTTGAATCTTTGTACCAAATACTGTCCCTATCACACACTTATAATAAACACTGGTTTAATTGAACCTGAGACTGTGGACAGAAATCCACCCAAAACTTATTTTTTGAATACTGATATTTCCTGGGGAGCCAAAGGGAAGGGCTATTAGATCCTTTGTCTGGACAAGCTCAGTTGTACAAATCCCTAAATCTATAAGGAATTCAGAGAGCAAAGAAGCAGGTTTCATCTTGTTTAAAGGTCTTGGTCAGGTCTCAAAGCAACCCTGTGACTTGACAGAGGGAAATGGCCCCACTTCTCCCAACCTTCCTGACCACAGTCCTGCTTCCCTTCTCCTTATTGTCCCCATACTTCTCCCCAGCTCTCTTCCCAAGGAGAGCTGTGATCAAGGCTGTGGGTATGAAGATATCTGGAGGGGTATGGGGAGGAAGGAAGGGTACATGCCAGTTCTCTGTCTATGTCGGCACAGGAAATAACATCACCGGCATGACTCATGTTTAATGTGCAGACAGATGGGCTTGTCTGGACATTACTGAGCTAAACCAAGTCACAGAATCACCACGGGCTCCCATTTTTGACAAGCACTGCACCCCCCCCCACCTTGCCCCTTAATTCAATTCGATTGAACACAATCACTGTATTGTAGGTATGGAACTGGAAAGGTGCATCTAGTCCAATCACTTCAATTTAAAGACAAGAGAACTGAGCCCTAGAGAGGAAAAGTATCAATCAGGTAGCCAGTGACTCATGAACTCTCCCCTTCCCAAATCTTTTCACAGGCAGAACATACAGAAGAAGAGTATATACAAATCACAATGCATCCCTGAAGAGAGAAAATTCCTCTTGATCCCTGGAATGAATGAATAATGCAAATATTGAAGCTTTTATGTATATATACATACATACATACATACATAAAAGCATATATTACTACGTACAAAGCATTGGGGGTGCAAATAGAATGGGCCTGGCCTCGAGGAGCTCCCAGTCTAATAGGAGAGACAACAGGTATGGAAGGGGATCAGCCATATGGAGAGATCACGTGGTCCTTGGGGTATACTTCCTTGCAGAACTAGAGGCTTATGGAAACAAAACACTGGACGTTGAATTAGACTTGGCTTCTGTTTGTTAAGTTTCTGATCTGTTTTTTTTTCTTTCTTTTTAATCTTTGTTACAAAAAATGGCTCTCCTTCTAAGAAGAAGAGATATATTTGGAAATGAGAAGGTGATTTAAAAATCAAAAGACAGTAACAAGTTAAAAATTTAAATAAAAAAAAGACTACATAGCAATATCATCTTTTGTTTCATTCCACAGAATAATACAATTACAGTATTCAATCTACACAATTCACTGGTATGTAGCAGTGGTGTCAAACTCAAAGAGAAACCGAACACTAAGGACATCTGCAGCTACCTAGTGACTTAGTTCTAAAACATACTATTATCTGTGTTTGATTGTATTTTAACTTATTTTGTTAAACATTTCCCAATTTCATTTTGATCTGGCTCAGGCCATACTTGAGAGTATTATGGGCCATAAACAGCCTGGTTGACACCTCTACTGTAAAGATTCCCTCACCCCTGTCGCAAGAAAGTTACCTGGGTTATGCCAAAGGTGACATGACTTGCCCAGAGCCATATGGCTACTCTAAGTCAGATGAAGGACTTTGAGGCCCACCCTCCACCAAGCCATTGGGCCAATCTTGGAGTTTATATTCTACATCTAATGTCAAGAGATTCAGAAGAATGCCCCCGGCTCAATGGGTGAACCCTTGTTGGAGGTTTTATGGGAGGACGTGGATAATATTCACACTGAATGAGAAGGCACTGAATTCCCATCAATGACATAGAGAAACACAGCTATTCTGACTCTACAGAAGGATGAAAGCACTCTATGGTATATATTTACCACCATCAAGGCTCTTCTCTGTGAATTGAAGGCATATAGAAGATCCTGGGTCTAACACTTAATACCTGAGTGGCTTTGGACAAGTCATTTCTCCTCAGTTTCCTCATCTGTGAGATGAACAGATTGGACTAATTGAACTGTCTATGAATCCTTTTCTCCTACAGTAAATTACCCTTTCCTCATCCCTTTGAATCATGCCCCCTTACTTAGGCTAAGAAGAAATAGGATTAGCTTTGTCCTACTTGGGCCTAGAGTACAGAGCTAGGACGTATGGGTGGAGATTATGAAGACCCCCAATTAGGAATTTTTTCTTACATCCAGAGTTATTGTCCACAAGGGCAGTGCTCAGCCATGGTAGGGGTGGGTAGTAGGGTCCCACTCACTGGGTCTTCAAATAGAGGCCAGCTGTTCACTCCAGACAAATTGTAGAGGGGATTACTGAGATGGCATCTGAGATCCTTCCACCTCTGAGATTTGGTAAAAAGCTGGTTTAAGGAGCATTTGCTCCCATTGACCAAAATCCAGAAACAATGGCCTTCTTCCTGGCCCATCAACTTTGCCTAGCACTGGAAAAGTCACATGGAAGTGGGCAGCCCAAACAGCAGAGACCCACATTAACTAAACCACAGGCTCTGCGTGGGCAGCAGCAGCAGACACACACAGCACTTTCCAGAGTGGTTCATTAGCAGACTCTGCAGCCCTATAGAAATGTGAATTCATACATGCATTATTTAGACCTGGAAGGGAACCAGGGCCAGAGGTAAAACCCCTCATTTACAGATGGGGAGATGGAGGTATAAAGGTGTTAAGTGACCTAGACCTGTCCTAGTGGTCTGACAGAGATCTGAACCCATGTTTTCCTGACTCCAGGTTCAGTGCCCTATCTCAAAACCTATTGGCATTCCCAAGTGGTCACCTATCCAGGCTTATCT